GCCTTTACTACCGATGCACAGTTGCTCTCTATTTATACTACATGTTCAAATACTAATTAAGTCTTCCTTTCCTTCTCTTGCACAGCTGCTGTCTATTTGGACTGTTCCCGTGGTGGGCATGGTAGTGCTACCGGTTGTAGTGCTGCTACAGAATGTCATATTTGCGAATTGAACGTTCGGATCGCTGCAACATTTCACTTGTTTGTTTCCATCCATTGGAATTGTACTGTAAAGGGGTCTTCTTACGGACAGATATCGAAATGATCACCGGTTTCATGAACTGTGACGAATTGTACTGCTGGACTGTACATAGGCACGTAGTGGTTGCACCGGTTGAGTGTCTACTGCAAATAGATAGCGTTTGATGTACTACGTTAAGTAGTAAGTACTAGATGCGATACTTGATCGGGATGGATCCCATCAAGGTGGAACATGCACTCTTTGAGCTGAAGACACCAACACCTCACAGCATCGTTGGTGTTGAGTATGGAGATAGGGATTAGGGATTCGCCTATCACAGCACTGCTACAGCGCTGTATGCCGCAATCGACCCACCCCACGGCAGCACACGCATGCTGTAGGAGGCCAGTACTGCAATACACACACAACACACTCCCCACTACGACGTGCCAAACACTGGCCAAGATTGGAGAGAGATTGATAGTATTGGTACTCGGAGATGCATAGTGTAGCATCACAGCACTCGATGTGACAGTGCCATAGTCCACTGCCTAGACAGGCTTAGCCGCTTGTGGGCGGTGGCCTTTGGGAGCTATGCTGTACGCAACACTATCTGTAAGGGCAAAGCTGACCCAATGGTCTGCTAGTTGTGTTCTAGCCCGAGTGAGTGTACTGGATGTACTGATGGGGTTGCGGTTGGGGGAAGTGTTTGAGAAACCCGGTAGATCAAACAGGGTTCGATATGCTTGCTGATGATACTATACGCTAAAATGCAGATCTGACAGGTTATAGATGATTGGATGCTTTGGAGCACTCAATAGACCACATCTCTGAAGCTATTTAAACTAAATTGGCGCCACGAATATATAGAGGCCAGATCTCTGTATCCTGGATTGTGGGCCCGTCGCTGGTAAAAATAGGATTCATTACCACATAAAGTGTATGTAGATTATCGTCAATACTCCAAGTATCGATAATCAGTAGACGACAACTTGTCATTGCGGGAGATATGAGGTGGGCTAAACAGCCATACAACTACCATATAACTGCACTGTACATGGCAGAGCTACTACAACAGTATGGTGGTGCTTCGAGTTCATTAATTAGACAGCTGAGAAATATCGGCGGACCTCCAATAAATTAAATGCGGAATCATAAAGCATTGTTGAAAACCTGTGTTATGCGGTGATATCCGCTACGCAAACTCAGAGGAAACACGTTGGATTTCTAGGACTGTTCACTTACAAATCTACGAAATAGTACCTACACTCTAGAGACAAAATGAGCTACATGCAGCGAATATACCTGACTAACTCCACGCACATTCTGGCCCAAAACTTCACGCTCTTGGCCGTTTCGGGTTTGTAGAGAGTATACTTTCAATACCAGATATAGCAACCGGTGCACCCTGGCGATGGCCTAGACAGGGGCGCTTTAGTACAATGGTGATTATATAGTACGTCTTTGTTCCATCCATTGGTTGTAGGGCAAAAACTTTACCTCACTGTACAACTGCGGATTGTGAAATGGGTACGTCTGTGCTAGTAACTGTGCGGGTCCTATGCTGAGGGATGATGACTATGTGGATATGCTGCTTAAATTGGCAAATGATGTGAGCTCTAAGGATGTAGTGATAGAGGGTTTAAAAATTTTGACTGAGTGGTGTTTAAGTCTTTTGAAAGCCTTAAAGCCTTATTTGCGAGTCGCAAATCGGAGAAGAACATGGTTCTGAGAATGTTTGAGGCAGGAGGGTTGGGGCAGGTGCTGGAGCAATTGTCTGAGATGAGAGAAGACGACATAGCGCGTCAAGAAGAGAGGGAACAAGCGGGCCGGAGACATCAGGCGAGGGTTAGCCGCGAGAGCAGGACAGTTGCAAGCAGCTGCAGCTAGACAGGAGTCCAAGGTTTCAGGGATGACAGGTCTGAGAGGTGCGTGCTTGTTGTGCAAGCAGGATGGTCACTATGTGAAAGAGTGTCCTGTGTTGAAAGACGTGGTGTGTCATACGTGTAGTAAGAGAGGTCATACTGCGAGATTCTGTCCTACAACACGATCCGGGAGTAATGTATCGGCAGCAGCGTCTGGGGAGGTGCGTATGAGTGCAGATGGGACACCTGAATTGTGACATGCGGCGGCGGCTAGTTAAGAAGGACCAGGCCAACCGTTGATCTATAGTTATGTGGAGAGTGAACAGTGTTATGTCGATATGTTTGTTGATCAAGGCGCCGATATGTCGATGATTTTTAAGGGTTTGGCAGAGCGTCTGGGGCTGGTTGCTCAGTATGATTTGTGTGGAGAGTGGGTTACGGGATTTGGTGCTCCGATTTATGTGGAATACAAGGTGCGAGATGTTGAGGTTGTTTTGCCTACTTTAGTAGGAGAAAGGAGGGTTAAGTTGAATATGTGGATTATGGATTGGATTCCACACAATGCGGGTATGTTGTTAGGTAGACGTGAATTGAATGGCTATGGATTAACTGGGGCAGTACTCACTAGGCAAGGGGTGACTAAATATACATTGTTTCCGGTTGAGGTGGTAAGAGAGAAGCCATCAGAATTTAAGACCTGGCTGAACAAAAAGGCGTCTGAGCCGGTGTTAGATTATATTCAGTATGTGGCGGCGCCGTTATTATATCAGCGAGCAGAACAGGTAACACCATTTGATAATATGCAAGATGATGGGGGTTATGATTCAGGTTATGAAAGAGATGGATCCGGGGGTGAGGACGATTATCTAATGTTCGATGCGAGTGGCTTAGAACTGTTGGCTGAAGAACTGGGGAAGTCTATGGAATAATTTGCAGTGTTGGTGGCGGCTATTAGGAGGGTGGCGTACAATGACAAGAAACCAAAGTTTGTGAAGGATCGGATGCTTAAGCTTCAGATCAAAAAAGGAGGGGCGCCTTTGAGACAAGTATATGCGGAGAAAGATGTGCGACTTATAGAAGTGATGAAGAAGAAGGTACAACTATTGCTTAGAGATGGTTTGATAGAGAGAGTGCAAGATACGGATTGGCTTACAGTGCCGAAACTTGGGCCTAAAGTGCCGGGTAGTAATCCCAGTTATGAGGAACCCAAGGATTGGAGGATGTGCATAAATTATATGCGTACGAATTATCAGCTAAATTCGGGTACATATCCGATACCAACAGAAGATGAATTTCTGGCAACAGTTAAGGGGCGCAAGTGGAGAACCAATGTGGATGCTGGAAATGGTTTTGGGTAGTTAATGATAGAGCCTGGTAGTCGAGGGGTTACTGCATTTTTGACGCCCTGGGGAGAGAAATTCCAATTTATTGGGATGCCGTTTGGTTTGAGGGATGCATCATTTGTGTTCCAACAACTAATGGATGAGACATTGGAGGGAATTAAAGGAATTAAGACGTACATTGATGATACCGCGTTAGGTTCGGGAGATGATCAGGCGCTTTGAGGCGAAAGGGATACATTTGCGGCTGTCGAAATGTAATTTCGCGTATCAAGAAGATCCTATAGTCGTGATGGGTCGAGAGGTTACAGATAAGGGTTCGATGATATGTGAAGTAAAGCTTCAGGCGTTATTAGATATGCCCAGGCCCAAAACCAAGGCCGAAGTCAGGTCATGGTATCAGTGTTTTGGATGGTGGGCGAGATACGTTCCGAATTTCTCAAATGTGTTGGCTCAGTGGGGTCCTGAGCAGGAGAAGGCTTTTCAGTCGGCTCGGAAGATTTTGCAGGCGAAGACAGTCTTGGTAGAACCTAGACAAGAGGAGCAACTTAGGTTGCAGACAGATGCGTCGGATTCGGGTATAGGTGCTTGTTTATCTGTGAGAAGAGATGGAGAAGGGCTTTCTGTGGGCTTTGTGAGTTCCAAGATAGATTTACATGCTAATTTGTCTCCGACAGATAGAGAATTGATAGCGCTAGCATATGGGTTTTTGAAGTTCGCGGGTTTGATTAGGAGATCGTACGAGGTGCTTATAGTAGAGATGGATCATCAGCTTTTAATTGTTGTACATCAGCAGGTAGAGTTCACGTTGGATCCAGTGGGTAATAGACGGTACAGGAATGTTACGTATGTACGATCGTTTGATATAGATCTACGGTACCTGGAAGGGCCAAAGAAGAAAGTTGCGGATGGACTTAATCGTATGTCGTGGTGGTTTGATCCTATTATGGTGCCCATGTCGGTAGTGGGTGTTAAGTTTGCTGCATGTGCAAAAAATGGGTCTGCCAGAGATTGATGAAGGTGTGGATTTGTCATTTGATAAAGTCTGCAAGAGTGTGGAAGACAGGAGGCTCCGGCTGGCGGTGGTTAAAGAGAAGCTGCGAGTGTTGGAGGAGAGTTTTGATGACAAGGTCAGTGCCGACTTCAAGGTTCGTGTGGGTTTATTGCATCAGCAGGTTACTGCAGTGATGGAGAGAGGTATTACTAAGATGTGGGATCCGGTTGTAATGGCTAGCGAACAGCATAAATGTATTGGTCTAAGTGTATGGTCAGAACTTGTTCAGCCTTTGCAGGAATATATTATCACGCTGGTGCATCAGACTTTAGAGCATGCTGGGGTAGATAGGATATGGGAGTTCCTGAAGGTTAATTATGGAGAGGAATTGTTGCGTTCGCAGGTTGTGATTGTTTTGAAGAGTTGTGTTGCGTGTCAACAAGTTGAGAGACTTCGTGGGACTACAGGGCTGTTAGTGCAGCCTGAGAGGCCGAAAGGGGTTGCAGTGTGTATAGGCATGGATCATTTGACCTTGCCAAGGACAGTTCACGGTTTCGAAGGTATAGTAGTGGCCATAGATCATTTTTCGAGGATGGTGTGGTGTCGGCCATACACGCTGGAAGAGAAGAATACTAAAGGGGGGTATTAGAGTTTGTTCAACAACAAGTGTTGCCTTGGGGTACACATAATAAAGTAGTGTTGGATGAGGGTGGTCCGTTCGCTTCAGCAGATATGAAACGTTTCTGGGCAGAGAGAGGTGCAGAATGCCTTTATGTATCAGTAAATAGGCATCAGGGCAATGGTAGGGCAGAGAGGGTCTTGCGTACGATTGTGGATTGGCTTGCTAAGAGCTTGCCGGTTGGTGAGGAAACCTTATGGCCAGTATATATATATTCAGTTATGTTGGCGTACAATGCGACAGTGAATTTGGCCACGGGTATCAGCCCATACTGTCATGTTACGGGCCAGCATTATACGGGGCAGGTTGATAGAGTAATTCAGGCGATGTTGTTAGAGGTAATAGGTTCTGAGCTTCTGAGTGAAGCTACTGTGCAGGATAGATCGGTGGCCATTAGAGATGAAGTAGTGAAGAAGGCGCAGGCAAAGGCGACAGACAAGAATAGAAAATAGGCACCAGATTGGCAGCCGGGGCAGTTGGTTTGGTATACTGGTAGGTCGAAGGATAGTAAGTTGGCAAAAACCTATTTAGTTAGAGGCACGATTGTTATGAGGGAACACTTACAAGGGATGTACAAGGTGAGAATTAATGGGAAGGTTAAGTCAATACATGTGGATCAGCTTAAGGTGAGGTTAGAGGATCCGAAGCATGAGGCCAGTATTAGAATGCGTAGGAGGGAAGTGTATTTGATCTGGCTCAGAACTTGATGAAATGGTGGCAGTAATGCGATCAACAAAGATGGGGAGGACTTAGTTATATACCATGAATTCAGCTATTGGTATATACGTTGATAAGATAGTCGATGCGGCGAAGCGAGGTGAGAGTACTTTGGATTTGGCTATGGAGCATCACTTCAATAAGAACAGGTGGAACAAGTTGCAGATGTTCTTCCAGGTTGCGAGGGATTCGATTTTGCGGATAAAGCAGTTGAGTAAATGGTTGAATGAATGAAGTCGACACTAATATCTTGTTTATTGGGGAGGTGTAATGTCAACCATGTTTACCTCCGATTTAAAACAATGTTGGTGTTGTAAATACCGAACTGTTCGGTAATGTTCCTGGGCGTTAATAAGAGTGCGAGAACTTCTAAGCGTGGGCGATAACTTATAAGTCTGAAAACTAATAAGTTTGAAAAGTTCTAAGTTGTATTGTGCGGTTTGTTGGCGAACGGCCGCGCAGGCTCGAAAGAAGAGGGGGTTGGTGTATGATTGGTGCTTTGCGAACCGAAGGGCGGGGTAATATGAGCTGGAGGTTGGTAGATGACGATATATGTTGAATGGACT